TTATTTTATTTTATTTTACTCTGGGTTTGACTTTTAAAGCAGGGATGTGACCTTAAAAGGGGTTAACTAACCTCTAGCCAGCCCTGGAGAAACTTACCCAAATGTTTATACGTTTTGGAAAAATCAGAGTTGAGTCCTGCCCTGTGGAGTGTTCTTAAGACATCATCAGCAAAAGCCATTAACTCTACCCGTACTGAGTGTGCTCCATTTCATCAGTTCTTACACATTATCTACATCGTAGGTGCTCTATCACCCAGGATAAGTTGCCTCCTTTTGTTTTGTTTTCCTCTAGATATTGAAGAGCTTTGAAAGCTTTTTGATTCCTCAGCTGTCCAGCTCACCACCAGATGTTGAGGCAATGAGGATCTACCTGATTCTCCCTGAATTCCCACCCTTCCAAGACTCCAAGTATTATATCACATTAACACTTCCTCTAGCAATGGCTATTCTGCGCCTAGATACCAACCCCAGCAAAGTTCTTGGTAAGTGGTTGGCCTTTGAGATGCATGTTGCTCTCAGCGTTGCCTTTAGGTTTTTCAGTCGTGTTTTTGTGTTGGTTTAATTTTTCTGTTACAATGGCTGCAATAATAATTTGTGGTACAGTGTTGTTATGAAGCAGTCGCCTCTGAAAAGCAGCTGGGAATCAAAAGCGTTTAAGGAATCCTCCCTCTAAAGTCTATGTTCCCACATAAAATTGATGTTCCCTAAAAAAAATTGAATTTTAAACATGAACTATGAGGAAATTAAGAAAGTGGCATACAGGTAAGATATGGGAAATTAGTTACAATAGTATCAAACATGTAAAATTCGTGGTGGTATGCATAATAAATGAGAAAGAAAATACAGGTTAAGAATTGTTTTAATTTAGAAGTAAAATATAATTTCAAATAATACTTTCTAGAGAGGTTAATCTAATTTACCTTATCTAGTGCACCTACATTCAGAGACTCGGTTACAGATAAATTTTCATGCCTCTCTGTGAACATAGATTTTGTTTATCTTGGAGATTAAATTATCTTATTCTCTTAAATTTGTCCACATCAGAATATCCTTTCTATAGAAGGTAAATAACAGAATATACTAAATATAATATAAAGTTACCTTGTCCTATATAAGGTGCAGAAAAACCTATTGGCTGGTCTGTGACCAAGCTGAACACTCCAGCTCTTCACCTAGTTCTGAATCTTCTCATTTCTGCTAATATTATTTCCTGTGAGCCCATTTTAAGCTAAGCAGAACATATACTGCTTATTGATTGTTACTCATCTTTGCTAGGCTGTTACTTTTCTTGTTATCTTGCTCTGTTTCTTAAGGCTATCTTATAGTAAATCTCATCACGTAAAATACTATATAATGCATTCAGACCTTCAGGAGCATTGCTCCGGTGACATTTATTTTGAGGTTTAGTGATTTTTTTTTTTTTTAAATTCAAAGAGGCTTGGGAACCACGTTTCCTCCTCTACTCAGCGTGTGCAGTCCACTGTTAGCATACAGAAATGTAACGGATTCTCATACTTTTGCCTGCCAGAATCTATTGTTGTGCTGACACTTGAGAGGATAAATTGGTGTTTGTTTCTAACAGTTGACTTGATGGTTTCCCAGGCTCCAGCTTCTACTTTGCAGGTGGATTGGTTCTAGCCAAGAAGCTAATAGTCAGGGTCCCTTCAGAGGAGAGAGAGGTAAGGGTTACCTGTTCTTGGCAAGAAAGAAATCAGCCTTTCTAACTTTAGAGCAGATGTGCCAGGTGGCAGCTCCAACACTTGCTAGAAAAATATGTGGTACTAAGGTGAATTGCCCAGGCAACTGCTTCCTTACCACTAATGGGAGACAACAGTTTGCCTGCAAGATTACAGTATACTTGAAACAGTGTCTTGAACCTTGAATTCAGGCTCTCACACTGATTAGGGATTGGGGCTCTGTGATGGCTGGTATGAGAGTGAAAAAGGAAGAGCTTTTCAGTTTCTGTTATCTAGGTGACTCTTTGCTCATGTTTGTGTTACTAGAAGTAGGAGAGAAATAGAGAAGTTTTTTGAAACAATCTTTAGGTGTGTTCCCCTATTTTCAGTTGTAACCTCTTATTTAGGGGTTACTCTGGCCTTTTATTGAGGATTTATATTGATGTTCCTCTGCTTTCCAGATAACTGGTGGTCTCAAGTGTGCCCAAGATATTTCCTTAGGCTAGTGGACCTCTATAAAGGTGCAGTGGTTTACCTCCTCAGTGGAAGAAAGACACTGTTGATCCCAGTCCTGTTCAGTAGCTACATTACAGCTGCTCTCAGACTTCTGGAGAAACTCCACAAGGTAAGAGGAAAGACTGGGCCTGTGTTGGCTCAGAATGATTCAGTCCTGTCTGCCCTTTGCCAGTTGGCAGGGGCAGAGTGGTCATGGCCCTGACTTAAGAGCTGTGTCATTGTCCTCCAAGACACCACATGGGGAAGATGTTAGTGGTTTTCCTGAATTCAAGGTACTTGAATTGAAGATTGTTTAGTCCTGTCTCAAACACTAGGAAAAATATTCCCTAAAGAATGCTGCTGCTTAGCCACCAGACTGCGTGCACTGTAGCATCACAAATACCTGTCTCATGATGCTTTGTGCTCCAACTGTGTTATTTTTGTGAGGAGGAGGGAGAACTAAAGTCAGAAAGAGGTTTATCTCAATTCTTCTTGGCTTATGCTAAAATATAATGGACGATGTGTTTTTTGCAAGACTTTTTGGGGCCTGTTGTTGCAAACTGCTGTAAGTGATTTTATGAAAGCAAACCTGCATGTTCTAAGAAAAATGATGAATATATCCATATTTTTTATTTTTATTTTTTTTCTTCACTAGGTAAATCAGAAGGTTAAACATGTAGAATATGATAAGTTTTATATCCCTGAGATTTCCAACTTGGTGGACATTCAAGAGGATTATCTCATGTGGTTCTTACATCAGGCTGGAATGGTAAGAGTTTTTATGTATAGTCATGAAATAGCTGTCTATGTTTGTCTCTCTGGTTGTAGAGATAAGTATTTTTAATACCTTTAATGAGAGTGTAATATGTTTGGTATAGGAGCATCTAAGTATTAAGTCTCTCAGATTTGGGTACTCAGTGGCTTGACAAAGTTGACTTTAAAAAGGCTGTCAGAAGAGCTGGAGCTAACAATATTTACCTAATGCTTGCAACAATCTCTGTGATTATTCATGTGATTCTCATTCAGTCCTTGCACAAAGGGATTAATTCAGTCATTGGATCCTTTTAATGTAATTGAGACCTCAGGAGCCAAATCCTGTATTCTAAAATTATAATTTTTACCCTTTACTTCTGCTGTTTAGGCAGGTATTGTGAATAATGTAGCCAGTGATCTTAAAATGTTGCTCTGTAAGAGGAGGCAGTGTGGCGTTCTGGCTAGGGGACTGAACCAAGACTCAAGAGATGTGGGTTCTATTCCTGGCTCTTCCAGTAACCTGCTGGGTGATCTTGGGTAAGACCCTTCACCTCTTTTATGCCTCACTTTCCCATCTGTAAGAAAGGAGATAACTAAACTGAGGGCTGGAATATGCTGTGTAGGAACCCAGTGAGATTATTTAATTATAGCAAGGAAAGGAATCCTGAGTGTGAGAAAACACAAAAAACCATTTGCTAAGGGATGCTGCAAGAGTAAAACCTGACTGTAGCAAGAATTTTTCTGTGTGTTCTTATGGACTTTCTAAATGTTGTGTGTGCTGTGTCCTCTGTCCCCCACTTTCCATCATTTAAATAGTGCTGTTCTGTGCTTGCTTTTAGTGAGCAGAGCAATAATTGACTCAAATTTGTTTAACAGTAATAGTTAAAAATAGTTAAAAGCGCATTGATACGGCTAATGAGAGGAGTAATTTGCATTGCAAGAGTGGTTTTATATTGTCATGTTGTGGCCTTATGGTCTCTCCTGTTGTTTTGTATGATCTCTGTCTTGGGGGCAGTTTTCATCATAAGAGTAAGTTTCACTTATGGCAGGCTAGCACAGGCTTTTGTGCCAGTTAGTCCTCTTAGTAACGTTTGATGTGCAAGTTTTGAATAAGACTCGTGTGTTTTCTTGAGAAGGATGTTCCTATGCTTTTATTTAAGTGGAAAAAACTGGGTTCTTGGTCCCAGAGGAGAAAATTTTCTTTGGGTCACCTTTGAACTAGTCTGTCCAAAAAAATACAAGAAACAAAATCAAAAGACTAAAAGATTTTCATTTTTCTCTTTTGCCTTCGCAGAAAGTAAGACCATCTATCATGCAGGTAAGAAAATGGTTTTTCATTACTCTTATTAAAAGAAGTGCTATGGAAGCTATAAATAGGAAGTAATCTGCCTGCCTTTCTTGCAGGATGCTGTGACACTCTGTTCATATCCTTTCATCTTCGATGCTCAGGCTAAGACCAAGATGTTACAGACAGATGCAGAACTGCAGATGCAGGTAATCCTTCTCTCTCTCTATTTTCCTGCCCCATTTCTTTTTTACTGCCTTTTGCATTGGTGCCTGCAAGGAACACTGGGAGTTAGTTAGTTAGTTAGTTAGTTAGCTAGCACTGTATTGTTTCCATGATATGGGAGAGTAGAGTAGCTGGAGAGCCTCTTTGTCCTGGATATTGCAGAGACATGCATGGTGTCTTTTACTTCATAATGTTGGTAACATCAGAGGTTCCAGATGTGCATATGGTGGAAATTTAAACTGTATAGGAAAGGAGCGCTTGTGTATTTATGGTAGTACAAGGATAAGAAGTAAGGTGAGGTGTCTGTTAGGGGAGCTGGAAGACTGGAAACTTAGCTTTCAGGTAAGTGGGCACTTTTTTCAAGTTTCTGCCTGGTGCAGGAGAGGTTGTCAGAAGTGAGGGTTGAAGACCAGCTCCTGACACTGTTTGTGGTTGCAAGCAGCAGCTGTTGTCAGCAGCTCACCCACCCATTTGCAGTGAAGGGCACAGACCCAAGGTTCTCCAGGAGTGTGTTCAGCTCCAGCACCCTTACCCTGTAGGTGGTGGCCAAGCCAGCTCACAGCCAGGCTGTGACAAGGGCAGCTGTGCCAATGTAAACCTCCCAGTGCCAGGCATTGCTCATGCAGGTGGCTCCTGGGAGGGGCAAAGCATTGTCCACTGGTCCCCCATTAGTGCAGCTGGGGTCTAGGACTAGTCCCATCCTCTGTGAAACGAGTTTGCTGAGGTCGTTGGTTGTCAGGTTCCTTCAGGGTGGAAAATTGTCATCACAGTTACTCGTGGCCATGGTGCTGGTTCCATGTAATAACCATCTCAGTTTGTCTATGGCTGCTTGAACACCTAGCCCACAGCAAGGCAGAGGAGGTTCAGCCTACACTTAGAAGCTGGAGTCACCTTCTTCTGCTTTCATGTTGCCACCCTCTTCTGTGTATTTCCAGCTGCCCAGTTTGTGAGCAGTGCGCTGCTATGAGGGGGGCATCTACCTTATCTTGGCAGGACAGCAGACTGGTAAAGGTTATGTTGCTCTGAGAGAGAGGATCTTTATGAAGGCCACCACTTGCAGGCCAAAGAAACCAGTACTTCTGTGAGTGCTGGAACGAAGGAAGCCTGCTTTCCAGTAGATTTCTGTCTCAGGATCCACTGACTTTTAAACTGAATTTACAAATGTGAATTTGCAACCTACTATGGACAATGCATGAGAATTAATATACAGTGTGTAGTCAAAGCTTTGACTGGACTTTGTGCCTTACCCAACGCCAGAAAAATCCATGTAGATGAGAGCTTGGAATTTTATGCAGTGGGTTCTCTGGTGCCCTGCAAGCTGCAGTTGTCAACTGACTCCTCACCTGGTCTGTTAGTAACACTGCTTTCCCTCGTGGACTCTCTGACTCTTCTCAGGGTTGTGCTCACATGGAGTTTCTTGATGCAATAGGAGCATGAATAAAGTGTCTTCCCCATCCACCTGCCTAGTGTCAAAAAGTGTTCAGGAATTAGATCTCTCTGTCGCTCAAATTTGGTGAATTGATCAGTGGACTCAAAAGGGGTTGGTGTGGGAAATGGAGGCAGGGCAGGTAGGCACACATGCACACACACTTGTACAGAGAGAACACATAATCCTTGTACCCTGGGGAAACCAAACTGAAAGAGTAAGGAAGAAAGGAACACTAGGCATGTAGTTGTTAATTGTTTTGCTTCCATAGGAAGAAAGGGGCTGAGCAGCAGCTGTTTTTCACCCCTCTCTTATTTACAGGTTGCAATAAATGGTGCAAATTTGCAGAATGTCTTCATGCTTCTCACCCTGGAGCCTCTGCTGGCCAGAAGCCCTTTCCTGGTACTTCATGTTCGCAGGAATAACTTAGTCGGTGATGCTTTAAGGGAGTTGAGCATCCATTCAGACATTGATTTGAAAAAGCCTCTTAAAGTAAGTTTTCCCCACACCTTTAGCACCCTCTCATCCAGCTGACATTTCTGCAGCCTTTCAGCCCTTCATGTTACTGCTTCACAGTGTACCGTGCCTTCTCCAAAGGTATAGCACACAGGGATCTTATTAGTTTAGGAGTTGAGTCTTTCTCCTCTCTGACTCCTGGAGTGTTTTGGCAGTGGACACTTTACAACAAGGCAAGCAGGGAGTGTACTCTTTTCCTGGCGTGTCTACTGTATAAGGGGTGGGAGAGGAAACATTTCTATGATATTATATGGTCTCTGTTTTGCTCCTCTGCAGGAACAGGCCACTTACAATAGGACATATTTTATTTCTGAGAGGTTGCTACAAAATTAATGAGCTGCTGTCATGTTACTGCTTCTGTTGTTGGGAGGATGGGTGGTTATTTTGATTTGTATAAGGAGTTAAACATGTTCAAAATATCTCATTCATCACCTTTCCCTTTCCCTCCCTGCAAGCAGAGCACTGAAACATGCTTATGGGTTGCAGTGGGTTTCGACATGTTAGACAAATTGCTTTGTGTGGCTCCCAGTTAGAAAGATGTCTGATTCACTCAGTCTCAGCTCTGCACCCCTGTTACTGACCTGTTTTTTCTACAGGTCATCTTTGATGGTGAGGAAGCTGTTGACGCTGGAGGTGTGACAAAGGAATTTTTCCTCCTGTTATTAAAAGAACTCCTCAACCCTATCTATGGCATGTTCACTTACTACCCAGAGTCAAACCTGCTATGGTTTTCAGACACGGTAAGCCCTTGCCCTTCATACACACAGGTTGAAATAATATGCTGCATTTAAATGACAAGAAAGTTAGTGGCAATCTATGGGAAAGAAGTGACCTTCCTCTCATTCTCCACCCACAATACAATGTGAGCTTTATTTTCAGTCAGTGAAAGTTAGCATAGGTTCTTTAACTTGAGTAGAATGGTGATGATTGTGCCTGTTAAGGAATTGATTCATTCTCTTTATTCTTATCCCATAATAAAACTTTTATTAAGTGTCAGATGACAGTAAATAGAACTCTCATTATCATGAATGTGATAATGGTGCTATTTTACAAAACCAGAGGTTTACGTCATAATGTCATTAGAACTCTGTGCTTCCCTTGCTGTTCACATAATTGCAACCAATCCACTTAGTCATGCATCACTATCACCTTTAGGGTCTAAACTTGTTAATGCTTTATGTAAAGAAGCTTTTAAACAGCAAGAAACATGGCTAGTAGTGAAAGCTGGTTGGTTTTGGAAGGGTGCAGAGTGTGAGTTCTGTACCTGTCATAGAATCATAG